GTAGATGTAGATAAACTAATGCCTGCAAACTTCATGAACTGGCCCAAAATTTCTCCACAACGATCGGAGAGACTGATAGTCACATATAAACTGATTAGTCTAGGTCATTGCTCCTGAAGGTGGTTCTGCAAGCATGTAAAATGATGGGTTGCACTTATTTTTTCACAGGTCTGTAGAAGGTCATGAAGTTTAAAAACTTCATGACTGTAGATGCATCAAGTTTCAAGAGCACTGTGGTCACATGCACAACAACACAAGTGGCACGTGGAAGACATTCACATTCGCCTTGTCACATGGGTTTTGACCACCTGATTCGTTTTAAGTTTGGATGCGTGACCCAGAAAACATTTTAAGGCATATTGCATATCGAAATGATGTATTATTTTCTTTTATGGTTTTTGTAATGTTGCTAAAACTTGCATATAGACCATATTAACCTTACATGATCTGACAGGACAAAAGTACTATTCCAAAATACTGTGTAATTACACTTTATTGCATACATACTGTCTCAGCTGAACTCTGGACACGCACACACATACATATACACTGATATGCACACACTCATCCCCCCTCCCTTCGACGCTTATTCCCTTCCGATGCTGACAGTGGATCAAGGAGACCAGCGCACAGGCTTCAGGCCCGGATGTACTGTCTAAATCGGCTGTCTCTCACCCTTTACCCACCCCTGTTGCTTGTCATGTGTTTCTTTGGTGTATTAAGAGTTTTTTTATGTGCTATGTGCAGAGGTGTTTTTTCTGTTCTCAAACTGATCTCCCTGTTGGAGCTCGGTCTGGGGGGAGTTATTTTTTTCTCCTTATGTTTCCTCATGTGGTGCATTTTTCCATTGTTATACCTCTCTGACCTGTCTTCCCCATGTGATGTTTTGTGTAATGTATGTATGGTCGGAGGGTAAGATGGCGCCGCCATTGCGTGCAATAGGTCGGCAGCCTTATGAAATTTCCCCTTGTGGGACTAATAAAGGTATATCAAACATATAATCATCTAATCTTATATTTTTCTATGAGCCATGTGCTTAGCAAACAATGTATTTTTAAGTGAAAATATGATTCAACAAATGCGTGGAGGCAAGCCACACCCAGGACCTGACCTCCAATGACTTGTAACATGTGAAACCTAGTGTAGGAATGTGTTAGCGTGTTTGCACAACTGCATTAGACGTCTCCTGTTACTTTCCCTTCCTCTTCTTATCTAAAACATGCAGAGCAGTGTCATGGATCATTGCATGCCTTTAACGGAAAGAAGACTTAAATTACATGCCTCACATTTCATAGATTAAAACACACATATTTCCCAGCAGATTTTCATAACTCACATAACTTCCTTTACTTTGTTGTCAATCTGAATATTAATTGACAAAAACTTTGTCACGGTCTAGAAGAAGATCCAAACTGTCACCCACAGATGAGATGAAATTGGAAGCAACTCAGGAACCACCAAGGCTCAACCCTGCCATGAACTGGAAACAGCTGGAACACCAATGTCGCCATAGAGAGTGAAATAAGTTTTATCTCACAATGGAGTGCAAGGTTGTTGACCAAAAAAGAAGCCAATGCTCCAAAATCAGAACCTTCACGCTTGAATGAAATTTTCTGAAGCTGCTCACTTGGACAAGCCAAATGTTATTAAGAGAAAATTCTTTAGTCAGACAAGACAAAGATTGAGGCATTTGGCCACAATGACAAGAAGTGTGTCTGGAGGAGTAAAGGGGAGTTCTTAGGTTTTCAAACCTAAGAACACCGTAGCAGCTGTCAAGCATGGTGGAGGTATCATCATGTTTGTGGCTGTTGTGCTCCTAGCAGTGTTGGGTAAGTTACTTTTACATCCAACACAAAAACTGCAGTCGTGGTGCTTTCGATTGTACTCAGAACTCGGAAATTCTGCCTTCTGAATAGGAAGATGTAGGCAACACCAGACTGCAGATGAGCTGCATACAGGGCTGGACTGGGACAAAAAAATCGTCCCGGGCATTTTGACTAGAGACCAGCCCACCATTATAGGCAAAATCATAAAGCCTTTGAATGAAAACAAACGCTGTTGTGACAGTGATGTACACTGTTTTGATGGTACTGTATATATGCATCAATCTATCAATCGTTTGTTGTAAGATTCAGATAATTATTTTTTAAAAGCTAGACATTTTAAATGAGAATAAGAAAGAAAAGTATTTCTTTGTGCCCCCCTTTCCCTGTTAATGCCCTACCTGGCTGGCCCCCTGGCAACACTTTGCTAGACCCGCCCCTGCACAGTTACCAGCTGTCAGCTACCTAAAAAAGGATCCTGGTGTTATTTGTCTCTCAGAAACAGTTCATAACTGCTCTGATGATCCAGTAAGGACATCTCCTGGTTTCATCTTCATGTTTCCCTCTCACCAGATAACCAAACTATATCATGACCAGCAGCTTTTTTGCAGCTGTGGCTCCAGCAAACATCAGCTGATACTAGAAATTAATATTAAATAAATTCTAACAACAGCTGATCAAGCTTAAAAGTGCTGCTGTTGTTTAGCGCGACATCCGCTGGTTTCCTCTTTCGGCGCAAAGTGAGCAATAAACAAACAAGAGAGCCGATCAGCTGATCACTGATCAGTTTTCATGATTGAAGTAGAAACAGGAGAGGGAGGGGGGAGAGGATGAGAGAAGAAGAGGCAGCTGTGCAGCGTAAACACAGAATAACTCCAGCTTTGTGCCTTTTTCATTGTAGCTAAATTACGGGACAAACTGTTCCTTTTCACCTCAATCCGGTTGTTCAGTGATGACGTGATGAATCCTACTTCCGGGTCTAAAGTAGTCTGCGTTTAATATGGCTTTTGTGTTGTTAACATGTTTAATGTTATGTATTTTCTTCTATTTGATCTCAAAAAGCTCCTAAAACAGTCAGTGATCCCTGTAGACCTCCCTCGGCTTTTATTACCACTAATCATTTATTTAAGCTCAGTTTTTAAAACCTTAGGATGTAACTACAGCCCAGCCCATGCAGCAGTATATGAATGACTAACCTCGTATTGTGGATGGGTTATCTCAATGGTTCTCCTGGCTGAAGTTTGGTCCTTTTACAGCATCCTGCCATGCGATTACATTTGTTTCTGACCACTGAGAACACTCACGTTAACTTCTATCGAGTTGAAAAAAAGTTAGCTTGTTTATATTATGCTAACATAGCTGTGTCGCTAGCGGTCACGTAGCACATCATTATATA